AAAATTTTTTTCTAAATTGATATACTTTTATCTTATAAGCAACTTAAAATTTTTTTCTTATAAAATAAAATTAAATATTGCTATAATATAATTCTTATTTTCCAATAAAGATTTTATAAAAATCAATCTAGCAGATTTATTAAAACAACATTCTATAGTATATTTTATAGAGTATGATCATTATTATACATATAGTTTCATATATTAAAGTTTATTTAATATATGTAGATGCTATTTATAATGCAATTAATCCATGAAACAAAATAAATAAAAAGAGTGATTATTATAATGATTGATTTTTTTTCATTGCCTGTATACAGTTTTTTAATAAAGGCAGTTTGGTATTTGTCTCATGAAATAGTACTGTAGTAAATATGAAAAAAAAGAAGAGTTAGATGCGTTATGGAGGATACTTTAAAAAGCAAATATAATAAGTTCATATTTCGAACCAATATATGGTTTAACTATTTAACTTTACATTAGTTAGTATGTTTCTTTTATCTAATTTTGTATATTTTCAGGTTCTGCATTATATACTAATAACTGCAATATTTATCTGTTATCTTATATACTTGTTTAATCTTTATTCAAAATATTTTACTAATTATTCTATTTTGACTTCGATATTCATCTCAATTCTTGTAGCTTGTACATTGTTAACGAATAAGCAGTTCAACTTTATCATGTGAAATAATTGATAAAAAAAGAGTTTATAGTTTTATCTTTGAGCTGATATATTTAACTCATATATTGCTTTTTTTTTTTGCATTATAGCGATGTTAAATGTGTTTTGTTAATTTTACTTGGCTAATTTTTTTTATACTTGTATTAGAATTAATAGCTATTCTATTATTTCACTTTGTTTTATTTGAACTTGATTTAATGGCTTCCATATATAATATTTCATGAAAATGGATAAGTTTAATATCAATAACAACAGTTTTAATGATTATATCAATGAAGAAGCCTTTCAAGATATTCAAGAAAATATTTTTTCTTATACTAAAACTTATAGAGAAACTTAAAAGAAAGAAGCCTTTCATGTTGCTCAAGATGATATTAATTTTCAAGGTGAAGGTTATGATGAAGCTTATAATAATTTTCAAAAAGGTATTTCATCTAATATTAGAAATTATGATAAGGATAATTATGAAAGTATTTAGGAAGATAGTATTCAGGAAGATAGTTTGTCTTATACTGAAAGTCATGAAGAGATTTAGAAGTCATGTGCTAAAATAACAAAAATAAAGTTATTCAAAACATTCTTAATACCTGATGCTGCCTTTGAACAAGTATCCTGATTATGTGTTAAAATGATATTTAAGTACTAGAACTATGCGTATTTGGTTTTATTAGTATATGGACAATAGACTGAGTTTGTGTAGCAAATTCAAGACAAAAAATTAGATAAAAATAGTGACGTGTATAAGTATATTTTTAAATATTGATATGCTAGAAATTTTTAATTAAAAAAAATAGCTATCGATCCTTTGCAATAGCATAACAGAGAATCAATTAAGACAGGCTGTACTTGCTTTATTTATATGTGTTGGCCACTTAAGATATCAAGTCCAACTATAACTAAAATGAACCTTAAATATCATGATTATATACCTAGTTCTGATACTATTTATTTTGCTAATATTTACAGACAGCTTTTTTAGAAAGTAATATACAAGATCAAATTCTATATAAATACAATTCATGATAATAATCAGTATATATTAAGGCAGCTTCTTAGTAGTGAATTTAAAGAACAATTGTTTTTGAACAAAGATTTGACAAATACTATTCAATAATTTTGAAGATATGATACAACAGACCCTAAGCAAGACCCTGAAAATGATGCTTTGAACCTTCTAAAGAAACTACAAAAAATGAAAGAGAACGATTCTATATAGTTTATATTATATTATTGTATTAAAAATCGTCTCTTTTATTTATTTTTACCAACAAAATCTATATTTAAAGTATTACAATATTATTCTGACATAATACTGCATGAACCAATAAATACTAGATAGCATTATGTTTATTTGTTAGTGTTGATCAGTATCATTATTCAAAATTAATAAGTCAAGCACTAATGTCTAATGAAACAACCTCATCTTATATATGAGTTTTTAAAAATCTTCTTGTAGCTACAAATAATTTACCACCTACAATAATATATTCTGATTGTGATACTGTACTAGGACCAGCAATTAAAACTACACTTCCAACTACTCGACACTTATATTGTATTTTCCATATAGTTTAAAATATAAAAAAATATTTAATGCATTTACTTGGTTTTCAATTTATAGCATTTCAAACTGATTTCTTTATATGCTGTAATACTTTGTTTGAAGAGATTTTTGAGTCACGATTCAATTTATTATGTATTAAATTTTCAGAAGCTTTATTGTATTTGAGGAATACTTTATACCCAATTAAAGAAAATAAGCTAAATGCTATATCTTTCAGATAATTAAAAATTAAATCTATAGTCATGTTAAGCTAGAATTAAATTGAGTTTCAATTAATATATAATGCTTTTTTTTAGAAATTTAATACCAGAATGTTTTTTACTCAACAAGTAGAATCTATTAATAGCATTATATATAAATATATTAACATATACTCAACACTAATGAATTGTTTTAATAAGATACAAAATATGCTATCTTTCAAGTTTTAAAAAGCTAAATATTATAACTATTTAGAAAATTTACCATTTACTATTGAATCATTATCAGCAGTTCGTGTTTTTCTAAACATAGTTGATCTTCTTAAATCGGTTTTAACAAATGAAATTTTCCGAATTCAAAAGGCTCAAATCGATATCTGTTTTGAATATTATTTAAGATCGATTCCTTCTAATAGATATGATAATTGTAATGAAGTAAGGTTAAATTGTTTAGTATAAGTAGTTATTTTATATTAACATTTAAGCTTTTTAAAGATCAATGATTTTAATACATTTAATTGTCTTAAAGATTACACTGATAAATATCAAATTGCACTCAAGTCTCTTATTAATCATATGGGCTAGGTGCTACAGAAAGGAGGGAAATTGACAAAATTTTTAAAATTAATTTTTTTACATAAATTAATTTAGAATATGATTAGGATCATTTTTTACTT